TACCAGATTCAATCCTGTATTGAGAAAAATGTATAAGAATAAAATGTGAATTAATTCTATGAAAAATATTGTGCATTCCTTTCCCTTCACCTCTTCTCTCTTCCCTGTGATTTCCAGTTCGAGGTAACAAATCCCGTTGTAAACTTTTCGAGTTCGAAAGCGAGAGGACCCGCACTGGTAAAAATATTCGGGTAGACATAGACCAGAGGTATCGTCTTCCAACAATCGCTGGGTAGTTTTTGTCTTCGAAATGATCCCTAACTGCTCGAACATACTCACACACGCTCACGAAAGTCGAGAGCCGGGGTCTCATGGTGGAGTCTCGAGTCCCATAGGTTCTAGAATTTGCCAAACTTTTCACGCGTGACGTCGATACTCTTTGTATGTATACAATATAGCTAGTTTCAGGGTATAGCAGTAGCGTAGTGCATAAGACGCTTGACTCGAAAGCCAGCGGACCCAGGTTTGAATCCGGCCAGGGCCTATAGGATTTTTCCAGAGTCTTCGCACTAACCACACACGCACACACACACACTTCTCTCCGTTCTACGTGTACGTCGTGAAACCAGTTTCTACCAAGGACTAGCAGTAGAGCAGTGGTAAGACGGTTTGACTCAAGAGCCTGAGTCCCGGGTTCGAGCCTTGCATAATGCCTAGGAGATTTTTCCAAAAGTAATATGCAAATTAACCAGCTGACCAAGAGCTAGAATCACAACAACGCCTAATATGAATAATAAAAATTTAATATTTAGATTACGCTAATTTTTATTCCGGTGACTCAAATTTCCGCCATTTTCAGCCTTAGGGGTAGGTATGGCCTCTCAATACTTTCCCTCTCCACTTGACCCTCCGGCGCCGGTGGGCGTGGTCTAGTGGTGCCGGAAGGTCGAGTGGTGAGGGAATATTTTGACTGACCATACCTACCCCTATACTACTGTCTACATTATCGATCAACTTAGATTACCGATCTTCTTGACAGGCCCGTGAAGAGGCGATATGTAAAAAAAACAAAAGAAAACTGAAATGTATGTAAGGTATGGTGAAGAAGTCATTTGACGATTAATAGTCGATGGACAATAAAGAGAAATGCTGCATAAAAACCGAAGTGTCTCATAAGATTTCTTAGTATTCAAAGTGTGTAACAAGAAGGCTTGGCTTACAATAAGCAAATTAATCTCTGCTCTTGTTTATATCTTATGTAATACGTTGCAATGTCATTAGAATTAAGTTCTTATCTTGCAATATGGAAAAATATCAACTCGATAACAAGACGCAGTTATTGAATAAGCATAATTTGAAAGCGCCTACCTACAGCGCGGCGTCTCCATTCTGTGTAATTATCTCTATCTCCAGAAAATGTAATCGCCTCCACTTTCTATTATTATATATGAATGAATTTGATATACGATACTTCTTATTTTTGCCATAAGGACAAAATTTTTGATTAAAAATTTTTGAAAGTAATGAAGAGGCGGGAAGGAATTTCAAAAATTTTACAATTTTGCAAAATCTGAATACACAGTTGCAAAGAGTATGAAATACGCTACAACTTTTATATAAACCATTTTTGCATATGTCTCGTACTTCAAAAGATACATATTAAAAATGAAAATGGGTTTTTTCTTCGAAGGATGGTTTCACCCCCTCAGACTGGAATTCTGCACGAACAAAAAATCGTTTTACAGTACGGATGAATTACTTTACTTCCACACAAAGTTTCAGAATTTTTTTTATTTCCGCGTTCCTTAACCTTCCTTGTAAGCCTTTTTAAAACTTTCTGACACGTGTTTAAGACGAAAACAAGCGTTGAAGATATATGTAAAAAATACAATTTCTTCTCTAGACAATACCTTAAGGATGTTCGGTGTTATTCCATCAAAATCAATTTTTCCTATTTGTTTACAATTTGTTAAAAAAATTTTTTCAACCAATTTGAAGCACCAGTAATCGTTGCTAGGATTCATGCCAAAAACCCAATAGTTACTTTTCTCATATACTGGTCTAGGCATATTCTACTGGTCTAGGCATAGGCTGGAGCGAGTACATTTACTATGTGCGCAACTAAGTTTCCGGGTTTCTTGATCAATGAAAAATGGAAAATTTCAAGAGAAATACAAGAAATGGTTTATTCAAAGTATCGTCCCTCGCTAGCTACACATTTTTGCTATCTCTCTGGCAATACATGAATACTGCGACGATAAAACGACGCGTCTTTGGACCGAAACCATTCATCCAACCAATTTTGCACTTTTTCGAAATTGGTCAAGTGTTGCCCAGCCAAGCCATGCGCCATCGACAGGAACAAGTGATAGTCGGAAGGGGCCAGGTCTGGCGAATACAGCGCGTGCGGTAGCAGATCCCATTTCAGCGTTTTGATGGTGTCCTGGACGATGGAAGTGCGATGGTACGGAGCGTTGTCGTGCTGCAATATCACTCGTTCGTGTCTCGTTCTGTTCCATTCTAGCCGTTTTTCGAGCAATGCATGGTTCAAATTGATCAGTTGTTGTCGGTAGCGATACCCATTGACAGTTTCGCCCGGTTTCAGCAGCTCATAGTACACGATTCCTTTTTGGTCCCACCAAACGCAGAGCATTGTCTTCTTTCCGAAGCGATTTGGCCGTGCCGTCGATATTGATGCTTCGCCAGTTGAAAGCCACCATTTTTTGCGTTTGGGATTCTCGAAATATATCCACTTCTCATCGCCAGTAGTAATTCGATGCAAGAAACTCTTTCTTTCATGCCGCAAAACCAAAATTTCGGAAGTGGCACTTCGATTTTTCATCTGTCTCTCAGTCAACTCATATGGCGCCCATTTTCCTTCCTATTAAATTTTTCCCATGGCATGTAAACACGTTTGGAAATATCTTGGCGAGTCCTGTTTAATGCCTCCGCAAGTTGATTTTGTGTTTGCGTATCATCTTCATCCAATAACGCTTGCAGATCAGCGTGCTCTATTGTTTTTGGTCTTCCGAAGCGCTCCTTGTCCTCAGTGTCGAAATCGCCACTTCTGAAGCGTTTAAACCAATGTTCACAAGTAGTTTTCGATGGTACATATTCGCCGTAGGCCTCCTCAAGCAAACGACATACTTCAGCTTCACTTTTTTTCAAGTTAAAGCAGGAAAGCAAAGCTTCCCGCAAATGCTGTTTATTTGGCACAAAACTCGACATCTTCGTTGTTAGAAAAAATATTTTTGCGTTGTGATATGTTAGTATTACGGCTGGTTATTGTTAACAGAAGTCCAAGCTATAAAAAAACACCACTTCAGACATATATGTCGACTACATGTGTCGTTAGCGCCATCCATGTGTGAAACCCGGAAACTTAGTTGCGCACCTAATATATAGAGATTGTCAGTAATTTTTTAACAACAAACAAAGCGAAAAATCGAAAATGTAATACATGTTTCTTTAGCGATTTTTCCCGTAGAATCGATTAACTTGGTTAATTTTTCAGAAAAATTAATTTTTCTTAATTTGTTTATAACGATTTGTTAAAAAAAATTTTTTCCACCAATTTGAAGCACTAATAATTATTGCTAGGACTCGTGCTACAAACTCCATAGTTACCTTTTTCATATCTCTACTAGTGTAAGAATAGGTCTTAACCCTTTGACTGTGGAGGCAGAAATGTACTAGTCGTGCCATTTTTGTGTTGGAAAAAATGTCGAATTTTCTTTATGATATTTTTATAATAAGGGTTTTTGGGGTCGCTGAATTCAAATTTGATATTAAATTCCGAAATTCAAAATGGCAGATCCAATATGATAGGTCAAAATTATGAAAATAATCGGATATTTATGAAAGTGGGTATCTATATGTTTTTAGGGTCGCTAAATCCGAATCTGATATCAAAATTTCAAAATTCAAAATGGCGAATCGACCATGGTGTGTCAAAATTATGAAAATAATCTGATTTTAATGAAAGTTGATATTTATATGTTTTTGGGATCGCTGAATCCAAATTTGATATCAAAATTTTAAAATAAAAAATGGCGGATCTGAATTTTGAAAATCAGATTTTCATGATTTTTATAATTTTGACTCGCCATGTTGGTTCCGCCATTTTGAATTTCGAAATTTTGATATCAAATTCGGATTCAGCAACCCCAAAAACATAGATACCGACCTTTATGCAAAAAACAATAGTTTTATTATTTTTTTCTTTGATGCATGTATACACGTCATCCACATTGGTGGCACGACTTTTTCATGCGGCTATACACGTCATCCACAGTCAAGGAGTTAATGGATTAATGCAACCTCCTAGATAAAATAGATTTTCTATTTATCTATTTATCTATATTCTATTTATCTATATTTTCTATAGATCTTCTTTTAAGAAATACTGTTTTAAATATAAAATAAATGAAATCGTGCAAACTTTAAAAATTTCGAAGAATTGGAAAAAATCAATTTGGGCTAAAAATGATAATAGATTTCTTTATATTTTAACATAAAAAGTAATTAAAGAATTGGAGACAAATCAGCAACTGACGTCCCCCGAGATATATTTGTAAAAACTAATAAATATTTTGATTTATATTTATAGTGAAAGATGTCAATATTTTTTCTACTTTTAACAAACATAGAATTTAATTTAAAAGAAAAATAATAATAACAATAGGGACTCTATTCTGATTTTAATATGTTTAATCCTTCCTTTGTCCCTCTTTAGACTATCGTACATATTTCGTTATACTTGATGCATATGATGACATACAAATTCTCCAATCTGTTTTAATTAATATCGTAGTTAATTATCGTAGTTGATTAATAGAGAAATTTCTTATTTATTTTAATGAACTTTATAAACGCTTATATATAAGCGTTAATATAGTTAAGTTCAGACATTTTGTACCTAGAAAAAAAAGAATTCACATGTAAATACTCATTTTTTATGTAATGGCCATCGATATGGCCATAATTAGAAACTAGAAATCTTAAGTTATACTAATGCTAAAGGGAATGTCTATGGTATTTTACAATAATTTGTTTAATAGAGCCTACAATTAAGTGACAGCATATTCCAAATGAATTGGCCGGCGTTGGATAATAACGTTAAGAAGAGCCTATTGATTATTATGAAACGTGCGGAAGCACCCATTGAAATTACGACTGCACATATCCTACTCATGAACTTGGATTCTTTCGTAACCGTTAGTACACATAGAATTTTATTTAATTATACGATAAATGATTAACGATTATGCTTAAATGGCAGAAATTCATAATAAATCAAGTTTAAATTAACCGATTTATTATTTCTTTTCTTTATTTCAGTTACTCAAAACGTCGTATTCCGCTTACAATTTACTAGTGCGAATGCAAGAAAAGCAATAATGTAAGCATAAGTGACGTGAAATGAAGTATGTTTATGTGTTACATTACTAGGTACGCAACTAAGTTTCCGGGTTTCACACATGGATGGCGCTAACGACACATGTAGTCGACATACATGTCTGAAGTTGTGTGTTTTTTATAGCTTGGACATCTGTTAGCAATAACCAGTCGTAATACCAACACATATCGCAACGCAAAAATATTTTTTCTAACAACGAAGATGTCGAGTTTTGTGCCAAATAAACAGCACTTGCGGGAAGCTTTGCTTTTCTGCTTTAACTTGAAAAAAAAGTGCAGCTGAAGCACGTCGTTTGCTTGAGGAGGCCTACGGCGAACATGCACCATCGAAAACTACCTGTGAACATTGGTTTAAACGCTTCAGAAGTGGCGATTTCGACACTGAGGACAAGGAGCGTTCCGGAGGACCAAAAACAATTGAGGACGCCGATCTGCAAGCGTTATTAGATGAAAATGATACGCAAGCACAAGATCAACTTGCGGAGGCATTAAACATGACCAAGGTATTTCCAAAAGTTTACATGTCATGGGAAAAATTCAAAAGGAAGGAAAATGGATGCCATATGAGTTGACTGAGAGACAGATGGAAAATCGAAGTGCCATTCCGAAATTTTGTTTTTGCGGCATGAAAGAAAGAGTTTCTTGCATCGAATTGCTACTGGCGATGAGAAGTGGATATATTTCGAGAATCCCAAACGCAAAAAATGGTGGCTTTCACCTGGCGAAGCATCAACATCGACGGCACGGCCAAATCGCTTCGGAAAGAAGACAATGCTCTGCGTTTGGTGGGACCAGAAAGGAATCGTGTACTATGAGCTGCTGAAACCGGGCGAAACTGTCAATGGGTATCGCTACCGACAACAACTGATCAATTTGAACCATGCATTGCTCGAAAAACGGCCAGAATGGAACAGAACGAGACACGAACGAGTGATATTGCAGCACGACAACGCTCCGTACCATCGCACTTCCATCGTCCAGGACACCATCAAAACGCTGAAATAGGATCTGCTACCGCACGCGCTGTATTCGCTAGACCTGATCTCTTTCGACTATCACTTGTTCCTGTCGATGGCGCATGGCTTGGCTGGGCAACACTTGACCAATTTCGAAAAAGTGCAAAATTGGTTGGATGAATGGTTTCGGTCCAAAGACGCGTCGTTTTATCGTCGCAGTATTCATGTATTGCCAGAGAGATAGCAAAAATGTGTAGCTAGCGAGGGACGATATTTTGAATAAACCATTTTTTTGTATTTCTCTTGAAATTTTCCATTTTTCATTGATCAAGAAACCCGGAAACTTAGTTGCGCACCTAGTATATAATTGTACAGGAAATGTTAGTAAGGAAATGAGTTGGAATTGATAATCCTTAATCTCGTTAATAATTGTAATTATCATTAAAGACAATAATAATATTGTGTATATGTTAGACACTGAAACATTTTATTCTACTCATCGGAATGTGATAATAATAATATATAGCTGCAAAATTAAATATAAGGAAATATAATTTGTTTCGGAAACAATTAGCGCTTATTTATAAATTAAACGCAATAAAGGGATCGTTGCAACATTCATAATTTAAATATTCATTTTGATCTTATTGCTCAATAATATTATTGTGTTGCCCAGTATGTACTAATATGTATGTTATATATAAACATATACAAGGTGTAAACGAGTAACTGATTCAACTTTTTATCACACGATTTAGCATTACCGACAGCACTGCAGTTAATGGAGTCGCATATAGATGTTGCACGCATCGTATCGTTATTGGCAAGTTCAGATGGTTGACTTCTCGGTTGCTTAAGTTAAGATCAAGTAAAAGGTATAAATACTTAACGTGGTAATGCATTATAAAAGTGTAGTAAGAAATAACATTATGCGAATCTTAAAAGTTGCGTGTACATAACAGAATAAATAATCGCAGCAAAATACGACTCTTACATAATCGTGATGTGTTTCACATTTCTCCACAAAAACATTCCTCCAACATATACCTTTTCGCGTTCTAAGCTCGTATAGAAAAAATCGCGGGAATCATTACAATTATTGAGTTGTCGGAAAAGTTGTGACGTATTTTTTCTATGTTTTTCAAAGGACATTTATTTATATAAAAAACAAAGACCAATCAATGATATATTGCCTGTTTTGTTCAATGACCTTTTGCCATCTTCCAATGAGCTTCATAATTCCTCGTTCATAGAAGGACCTGTCTTTATCGGCGAAACTGAAGATGCTGATTTACAGTCTCATCTGAATTTAACGTTATACCACGCAAGGAGTTTTGAAGAGAACGAAAGAAGTGGAAGTTTGACGGTGCAAGGTCAGGCAAGTATAATGGGTGAAACAACACATCCCATCCAAGCTGCAATAATTTTTGACGGATGATCAAACTTGTGTGTGGTCTCGCATTGTCATGATGGAACACAATTCCTTTACAATTAACGAGCTCTGCACGTTTCTAGATGATGGATTCGTTCATACTGTCCAATTGTCGATAGTACAAGTTCGAATTGATTGTTTGGTTCCTTCAAGAGCTCGAAAAAGACGATACCTTTAAAATCCCACCACACTGACAGCATAACAGTAGTATGTGGGCAGGTATGGCCCGTCAAAACATTCCCCCTCCACTCGACCCGCCGGCGCCACTAAACCACGCCCACCGGCGCCGGCGGGTCGAGTGGAGGGGGAATTTTTTGACGGGTCATACCTGCCCACAGGCAAAAACTAATCGACTTTTGAAATAAGCAAATTATGACCGTCATTATTAGAGAGTTTGACAATTCTGACTCTTGATCAGCTACTTAATTTGCATATTGCATTTGCGGAAAAACTCTGTGGAGCTGTGCCGGATTCGAACCTGGGACCTCTGGCTCTTGAAGTCACGCGTCTTACTACTACGCTACCGCTTATACCTTGATGGAAATTAGCTAATCGTCTACATACGGAAAATATTGACGTCACAAGTTTTGAAAAACCCTGTAAGGCCCTCTGTTGGATTCGAACCGGAGCCTCTGACTCTCGAATTAAGCCGTCTTACCATCGTACTACTAACCTGTGTGTCCCCATCGCTTTCGAACTCGAAAAATTAAGTTAAGTTGGGTTTTGTTACAACGAATTGGAGATCGCTGGGGAAGAGAAAAGAGATGGAGAGAAAGAAATATACAACATTTTTATAAAATAAATTCGAATTTATTTTTGAAGTTACATAAAGCTATTGTTGGAAAACGATACTACCAGTCTATACATACCCTCTGAATATTTTTATTTGTGTGTCCCCTTCGCTTTCGAACTCGAAAAATTAAGTTAAGTTAGGTTTTGTTACAACGCATTGGAGATCGCAGGGAAGAGAAAAGAGGTGGAGAGAAAAGAATATACAACATTTTTATAAAATAAATTTACATTTTATTTTTTGGAGTTAGATTCATAGCTTTGCAAACACTCGTAGCATTGAGCGTTTGTTATAATCTCGTGTATAATTTCATTTAAATGAATCGTAGTCAATTCACGGAATACAATATTAAAATATGTGTCTAAAAATTGTAAATTTTTCATTTGACGTCGTACATTTTCCTCGATTTCGCGATATTTATCAACGAACGTCTGTTTTACGAAATCTTCGTTTACACCTTCCTTCGTGAGATTAAGTTCTATTTCGGCTACTAAAATACATTTACAATTACTCACAAGAGCGGCAACCGCTTGTAACTGCTCGTATCGGGTGTCGATACATTTTGTGACAGTTTGCAGACCATCGAAAGATGTCTTCTGCATTATATTGCAATAATATTCTCCGTATACAGCTTACGCTTCTTCAGCGGCGGTTGCTTCAGATGCGTAGACTCCTCCGATGTCTTCTTCGCAGGTCCGCTCTCGTCCAGCATTTTCCCTCGCTGACTCACCATTACAGCTCGTGCACCGTACGCTGAGATAAAGTTGATGCTGATGTTGTTGATGATGATAGGGGTTGGTGTATTCTTATTTTTCCCACACAAATAAGGATTTGCAGATGGTATAACGTCTTTAAACTTCTCCCACGTATTCAAATCAAGGAGAATTCCTGAAGACGTGTTCCCCATGATCCTGATCGTTGGCTCAAATGGACCCATGTCGTACGTGGTGCGCAATCCAACCTGCATCCTCTTAGTGTCCGAATTGTTGAGCGCGTACGTCGTACATAGAAGCATGTTACGGTTGTTTCCGACTTTTGTAGAGAGACTGCTCGTCTTCTTCGACGTCTTCTTGGGAGCGGTGTCCATGTTAGCACAGGACATTTTTCTTCCAAGAACTTGTAAATAACTTGTAAAGAACTTGTAATAACGAGAACTAGCTATGCTGCAAGTAGAAGCAACGGAGCTCGAATGCTTCACCAGTCTCAGCTCCGTATGGCTTTCCCCGTAGAGAATAGAAAAAAGTAGTGGGGGGGTGATGATGCGCAGGCGTAAAAGGTCTACAACTACTTATCTTTTTCAAAATGATATACAAAAGTTGTATCATTAACGTTTACTTAGGATGGTAGATAAGTCCCTGTATCGATAACATACAGTTTCTGAAACCGCTTCTCCGGGGACGATTAGATATACCTCGTTATATTAGGTTATTGTTATGTTAGATTAGATATACGTGCTACGCGTGTGGGAGAATTTACCATTAAGATTACATTAAAAGAATCGTTAGGGCTTCACTAAAAGGAGATTATTACCGATAATTGTTTTCATCTTTACTTTTCGAAGATATGATTTGGAGAAAATTTTAAAGCGTAGAAAATAGAGTAGAGGAAAGTTTCTGAAAACGCTTCTCCAGGGCGATTAGATATACCTTGTTATATAAGCTTATTGTTATGTTAGATTAGATATACCGCTACGAGCGTGGGAAAATCCGTTAAGAATACATTAAAAGGAGATTATTACCGATAATTTTTTCATCTTTACTTTTCAAAGATATGGTTTGGAGAAAATTTTAAAAGCGTAGAAAATATAGTAGAGGAAAAGTTGACGAAGACACCGTCTTTCGTCTTTTCGTTCAGTTCCTCCGCAACAACAGACGCGTATTGCAGCATCTTAAGTAATATCGAAGAAAATGTTGAGAAGATGTCGTTGCTCGTTGAAACCGTTCGCGAGTGTATTATCGTGGCATCGATTATAAATCCTCTCATCGAACGCGAGAGGTATTTGCGCGAACTCGTGGCTAATAATGATGAGTGCAATTATTTAACGTTTTATAGTTTCGCGGCCTCATGCAGTAGTACTCTGCTGGGAATGCTATTTGCATGTGGGCATTTTAAAAGCGATCAGAGACTTTGTGAAATTGCTGTGGACATTGTGGAAGCTCGAAGATTGTTCGGAGAAAATGAACCAGACATCGGTAACCACGTCCGTGACATGTTCCTTACTTCATCGTAAGTCTTTTATTATTCATTCCTAAAGCAACATAAGAAATAATTCATATTGTCGTCGGTTTTCCCATTAACTTTTATCTTTTCTCTCGTTCAGTCTTTCTCAATGCTTCTCTCGAAAACGAAGAGCATCGAAAGAGCTTTTCCCTGAACAGACAATCTCACCGCCCGCATTACGACATTCCAACAACGAAAAAGTAGAAGAAACGTTGAGGAATGACACTGCCCACAGTTCATCAGCAGTCTCTAATTACACAACCCGTGAGGAGATGCATGATATTGAGGAAGCATCGGCTGAAGAGGCACAACACAGCCGTCTCCACGCCAAGCCCTTCGACATTCGTTTCTTGCTCGAAAACTATCACTTAGGTAGAGTGATATTGAACTCGTAATTCATTTCTACGCGTCATGTAAAATTTAAGAAAATTAAAATTAAATTTTTACAGTGCAACAGGGTGGTGGGGGCGAACAGTCAGATTTCCATGACGTAGACAAGCACAACGAAAAAGAAGAGGAGGACGTTGTAGGAGAAGGAGGGGAACAATCGAACGCACCGGAAACCACCCTAATTAGAGCTAATATTAGCGAGATCGACTATAAATTTATTCAAATTTATGGTGAAGGGATGCGTAAATTTAGAAAATTTAATATTCTCGGTAGGGAAGCGCGCATCAAAATTAGGCCTCCCCCCGACGATAACGATATCGTGCTTTACCTCGAAAATGCTTTCCGCGAAATCTATGCCTACGCTGTTAACTCGGTCGGTCTAAACGACTACGTCGGGTTATCGTTTGCTTCAGCAGACTTAACTCGGGGACCTGCAGGTTTATCGTTTCGCCCAGCACGTGACTTGAGCTATGGAGATATTTGGAATCTTGTGAGCTCGCTAGTTCAAAACGCTGGAGGTCACGATATACTGGAGCATTTTACAGTTAATGTTTTCAATGTCACGTTACCTTCGGGCAAGGCGCAAAACCGAACAAATTAACGCATGAAGGGGTTGCGAAACGTTCGATCCTTATTATAAACAATACAGATAATCTATGTTTCCCGCGTTCGCTTGTAGCTGCAATGATTTATAGCGAACGCGGGAATGTGCGCACTGGGGAGCTTCACGCAAAATGGAATACTGTGAGAAAACAGAATTCTGTGATGCAGCGAGAGCTAGCACTCGAACTCACGCGGAAAGCTGGCGTTTCTATACCCGATGAAGGATGTAACATTCCAGAGTTCGAACGTTTCCAACTCCATCTCGCAAAGTACGATACGACGATCACTGTTTATAATTTTAGCTCTTTTGCTCGTGGTGCGCCACCGTTATACGATGGCAGCGGGGTGCTCGTCTCTCTAGGTCGCGCGGTTAGACATAAACTAAATATCATGTATTACGAACGCAGTCGCCACTTTAATCCAATATTGAATTTAAGAGCTGCTAGTGGAAGTAGGGGCTATTGCGTTCGTTGCAACCGTGGATATAAACCTGAAAGGGGACATCGGTGTTCAAATGCGTGTCTCCGGTGTTTCG